CCCTCTTCAACCTACCCTCTATACAAAGATCAATAGATGAGATTGTTTTTGAAGAGTTCAATTTCAATTCACTGTTTGTCACTGATCCACCAGCTTTAGTCCACCTTTATGAGGCCTCAAGAAGGCCTTATGGGTTGGTGTCAAAAACTCAGTGTAGTCTTGTGGTGGACTGTGGGTTTTCTTTTACCCATGCAGTTCCCGTGTTTCAGAACTTCACTATGAACTTTGCCGTGAAAAGATTGGATTTGGGTGGGAAGGCATTGACCAATTACTTGAAGGAGCTGGTGAGTTATAGGGCTGTGAATGTTATGGATGAGACTTTTATTATGGATGATGTTAAGGAGAAGTTGTGCATTGTCTCGCTTGATGTCGCGCGGGATTTGCAAATTGCAAGGTATTAGTATCAGAATTTGAACTTGGTTTTGGCTGATTTATGTGTTGTTTCAGTTTAATAAAATGCTTTTTTTGGTTGGTTTGCAGTGTTGTGTTCATGCATTGGTTAGCTTTTTTGCCCGAGTTCTTTTAGTTCTCTTGAGTAATAAGCTTAATTTATAAGTTGGTTTTTTCTCTGCTTACTAGTGTAACAAGTGAAATGAATTTATAATTTGTGGATTGTGTAATGAAATGTCTGTACACATTTTATAATTAAATGCTATGATGTTAGGAGTGATATAATGAGAGGATTCTACAATGAAATGATGCTAAGAAATGGTTGTTTGTTATGAAGATTGTTGAACAAATGTTATAGTATGAATCATTTATTCTTACATTGTCCTCTAGCACTCTCACTATGGAACAATCTATTGAGCTGTATGGGTCATTGTTGGGTGGCACTTAGAACTATGTTTTCTATGGTTGGTATCATGGTACGGAAGTGTGAGTGGCGACTCAAACCTTATATAACTCCGTTCCGACTCCACCTTGCGAAGGCGAAATGGAGCTTTGCAGATTGCTTCCCTTGTTCTACCATTAGTTTTCTGCCGTAACTTTGCCTTCTTCGTTGCAAATCAACTATAAATTCACTGTAGATTTCGTTAATTTGTTTCTCCCTTCTTCTACTCCTCTATCCCTTATCCTACTGAAAAAAAAGCACAAACATAGTACAATTTGCAGATAAACCGTCACCACCAACACATCTCCGTTGCTCGAAGAAGAAACAAATCTAAAAAAGGACCTCAAAAATCGTAGAAGAATCAAAGAAACTCCAACACCCAAAACCAATTTCTAAAGGATCATCGAAAATCCAAAGAAATCCACATGTAAATCATCGTCCCTACCTAGAATCCAAGAAACAAATTTGAATAAGAACAGTGTTAAGAAAAATTCACAAACAATGTTCAAATAAAAACCCATAAACAATGGCACTCGAAGTGAGAGAAAAGAGAAGGAATCATGGAGATAAGTTCCGATTGAGCGTTGAGGGATAGACGATGACGGATCTGAACTTAGATTGATGGCTATGGTTGGATTCACAACGAGATAGGGCTTTAGAGGCAGTCGAAGCTGACTATCCCATCCAGGACGAGTCTATGAGGAACGTTGGATCTACGCTTAGTGAATCTCAGCCATCCTTGTTGTTGGTGGAGACTGGAGCAATAGGTTTTCCTCATTTGGTTCTTTTCGGTCAGAGTTGAGATAGAGAGGGAAAATAAAATTGAGGTGGGGCTTAGGGATTGGCAAGAGTTGGATTCGGACTGTTAATATGACTAACTCACCATTTATTTACAATAAGCTGCCATTTTGTTTTTTATATGTAAGATAAATAATTTCAGACTATAATGAGAAGTTTGATCTGACTTTCCCTCTAATAAAATGCATGATTAGTAATCACATTGTTAGCATCCTTTATTTTAAATTTGATACTATGATTCTATGGCTTAAACACTAAGCAAAGTGTATTCTAATTAATTGTTTTGTCTCAAAAGCAAGAATCTTATATTAATTTTTATAAAATTATTAATTAATAAAATTCAGAGTCGGAGTTAGAGTTTTGTCGGAAAAGATTTCAAATTTTGACTCTGACTCTGATCCGAGGCGGAGTCAAACCGGAATCAGAGTTGGAGTCGGTGTTGGCTTTGTGGATAGTTTCACACTCCTAAGTGGGGGTGGAAATAGAAGATGAGAGATTCCTTGGATTTACGCTTGTTTTGCTATTGTTTAGGTTATTTGGTTGGAAAGGAATGTGAGAATTTTTTATGACAAACGTGAGGAGGTCGATGGTCTATGAAATTGCTTCCTTTTGGGAACATTGTCTAAAGAGTTTGAGAATTTTCCTCTTTTTTGCATCATCTCGAATTGAAGAGATTCATGTGGAATAGTTTTTGGTTTTTCGTTGTATTTACTTTGTTTCAACTTGTCTTTTTTTTTTTTTTAAAGAAATCAAGAATTTTTATTCCATAACCCAAAATTTACAATCAAAGAAAAAGCAGACATTCCTGCCTTTACAATTCGCTATTACCAAAATACCAAGAAAATCAAGAAAATACAATTTTCTTTCTAAAGTATTTATGCCCATTTTTATCAAACAGCAACAATCTCCTGGCTGGAAGAGGAATGTCCGAAGCCGCAGAAAATTCCATAGAACATCCACATTGTACAGCCCAATTTGCAAAAAAATCAGCNACGCCTATTTTTATCAAACAGCAACAATCTCCTGGCTGGAAGAGGAATGTCCGAAGCGGCAGAAAATTCCATAGAACATCCACATTGTACAGCCCAATTTGCAAAAAAATCAGCTGCTGAATTTCCTTCTCTGTACACATGTGTCAACTGAAAATTTAATCTCCCCAAAATCTCCTTAATCTGCCTCATCAACTCCCAATATTTCCAAGCACGTAAATGCCCTTTCATTACCATATTAACCATAATTTCAGAATCCGCCTCCACTTGTATTCGGTACCCCAACAAATCATATTTTTCAACAAGACATAAACCATCTTTTAGAGCCCTTAATTCTGNAGGCCCTTAATTCTGCTTCCATGTTAGAACAATTTCCATAATGAAAAGATCCTGCAATCACCAAGTCACCCCATTGATTTCGAATCACTGCACCCCCACCAGCACATCCCGGATNTCACCCCATTGATTTCGAATCACTGCACCACCACCAGCACATCCCGGATTCCCTTTCGAGGCTCCATCCACGTTTAATTTCAAACATCCCTCCATTGGGCAGGACCAATTAACCCATATTGCTTTTATTTCAATTTTTCCACATCTTGTAACTCCCAATTCCTGCAACATTTTCTTTCCATGTATGCTGTCAGGAATTTTCGGCCGAATTCCATAAGCTTGTAGCTTAACAATGTTGCAGGTATTCTTGAAAATAGAAAAAGCAGACAAACATCCTTCTCCATAAACTCTTCTACATCTCTCTCTCCATAATAACCAAAACACAACCAAAGCCACACTCCTAACTAGGATATGACTAAGAGACTGTTTTTTAAAAATTCTTACTAATCTCATTAATCTTCCCATAGGACCTTCATTCTCAATCAAATTAAATCCAAAAAAACCAGCCAAGTGTTGCCATACCTGTGCAGCAAAGTCACATCGAATAAACACATGAGCTCCACTTTCCATTGCTTTATAACATAGCGAACACCTACTAGCTAACTTCACCCCCAATTTCTGAAACCTAACATCCAAAGCCACTGCACTTTTGTTAATTTTCCAGCAAAACAACTTAGCACTAGGTGGAGCAGCCTGAACCCATATCGCCTTAGCCACCAATTCTTCATTTCCAGCCTGTCTTGCCAAATGCCAAGCTGATTTCACCGAAAACTGCCCAGAATCATTCAATTCCCATACCAGAAAATCAGTACTATCAGATAGAGTAATTCTCGAATTCTTAATCTCTTCTTTCATTCCATCATCTACTAAACCACCCAACATCTGCCACTGCCAAACATTTTCTTTATAAACTTCTGCAACTCTTGGAAAATTTTGAGGCATTACCCCAACTCTATTCAACAACGGCCCAGATTTAAGCCAATTAGAACACTCAACTTGTCTTTGGGTTGGACGTCTTGTCCACCTTTGAATTGTTTTAATTGTAATACTTTTTTACTTTAAAAATTAATGTTATCATCGTTTCCTATTGAAAAAAAGAAATCATATTAGACTTCTGCATTTGAACATTTCCTCCTACCAGTATATCAAAATTTTGCCACTTACTAAAAATTGAATTATTCAATGAAAACTAGTGCTCTTGCTGAATATTATCTCTATATAGTTGGGATAATTTTAAATCCTAAGCCTTTTAGGGATTGGTTCAAATGGAAATTATGGAACAAGTTGACAATAAAGGCTTTAAAAAAAATGAATTCACTTTATTCTATGTTTGGTTGTTTCACAGCAGCACGGACCAAAAGAGGAATTCCTATATTTATAGGTTTTTCATTATTTGGGATCTGAGAAAGCAAAAGGCTCCAGTTAACTGATAATTGTATCGATGTAGTTTAATGTCGTGTTTGCTGATATAACATGAAGGGTAGTTATATGCTTGTGGGAATTGAATATCTCAAGGCTGTGAGGGTGACTTATTTCCCCTTTCGAAGAGAAACCAGGTACAAACTTACAACGTAACGAGCATATGTAATTAGTTAGCAATTTTTCAATTCCATTGGTTGTTGGGTTCCATAAACTCCAAGAAAATTTCTAGTGTGAATGGTAAACTGGTGGAACATAAGAAAACAAGCANTTCCATAAACTCCAAGAAAATTTCTAGTGTGAATGGTAAACTGGTGGAACATAAGAAAACAAGCATTAAGAACCAAAGAGAGTCAATTCCTTTTGAACATATGTCTTGAAGGGACGTCATGTTACTATGGNTTGAACATATGTCTTGAAGGGACGTCATGTTACTATGGGGGATGAATTTATGTGAAAACATGATTCAGGACAGATTTTGAAGTTGAAGCTCGGGGCTTGGGAAAGCATGAATCATGTTCTCTTCAAAATTGACCATAATCTATTATTACAAAAGTCAAAATTTTCTTATGAAGGCCTTTATTGCCTTGTTTTGCTCACTCCTTCTGAAATATTCTTACAGACGACATGGAAAGGACAACTACTTCAGTTGCACATATGTTCTTCCTGATGGTGTCACACACACAAAGGGTTTTGTAAAAGATCCAGGTGAGGCAAATGGATACCTTGCTTTTACAGATGGAGTCCTACCTCCGCAACCTGAAAGAAAAGAGGACATGGATCAGCTAGAAGTTAGAGAAAAGCCCGAGGACAGAAGAAAAATTGATTTAACACAAACTGTACTATACATTTTCCCTTGAGAAAGTAGTCCATGCCAAAGACTCCACATCTAAATGTTTTACCTTCTGAACAGGAGTTTACTTTGACAAATGAGCGCTTCCTTGTCCCAGAGATGATCTTTCGNAGACTCCACATCTAAATGTTTTACCTTCTGAACAGGAGTTTACTTTGACAAATGAGCGCTTCCTTGTCCCAGAGATGATCTTTCGTCCTGCTGATTTGGGTCGGTATAACATTTTATATTATGAGGTTTTCAAGTTTTTTGTTACCCCAAAAAAATAACAAAAAATCTTTGTTTAATTTGCGTACAAGATTCAGTGATTGATTATTGATATATTCTCATTCTTTTTCCTTATTTACAACCAGCAGTGTCATTGACTTGTGGACATTTTGCAGGAATGAATCAGGCTGGACTAGCAGAGTGCATTGTTAAAGCTGTCAATTCCTGCCATCCTCATCTTCACCCTGTGCTCTATGAAAGGTATTACTGGGAATCCATTTTTTACTAGTGAAAATTTGTCATGTGGTTGCTTGTTGGTATGCATGTCTGGTTCGTAGCACTAACCTGTTTTTCAAATTTGTGTTTGGGCAGCATTATATTGACTGGTGGAAGCACACTTTTTCCTCGATTTGCTGAAAGATTGTAAGATTTCAATTTTTTGCCACTGCTTTGAAATATTTTTGTAATGGATAATTTGGAATTCACCACAAATTATTTTGTTCCACTATAGAGAAAGGGATCTCCGACCTCTTGTACCCGATATATACCAAGTGAAGATAACTACTCAAGAAGAGTAAGCCCNTCCACTATAGAGAAAGGGATCTCCGACCTCTTGTACCCGATATATACCAAGTGAAGATAACTACTCAAGAAGAGTAAGCCCATATGTACTTGAAAAACTGTTTCCTAAAACATATTGCTACTTCCAGATTGGTAACACTTTCTTGTCTGGACAGTCCTATTTCAGGTGTTTGGCGCGGGGGTTCACTTTTGGCATCTAGTCCTGATTTTGAAGCAATGTGTGTGACTACGACCGAGTATGAGGAGCTGGGGTCTGCTCGATGTCGCAAGTGATTCTTTCACTAGTATNTGCTCGATGTCGCAAGCGATTCTTTCACTAGTATATAAGAACCTAGAAGGTAAGGTGTAAAATACTCTGTCCTCTGTCTTGTATTCAGTATCATTTCATTTTGACCACATCGAAAATTTCAAATTTCATTGCCAACCGTACATATATTGAAAATTACAAGAATGCGAATTCACAATTTAATGTCTCCTGCAGTTTCTTGGATGAGTATGCTTTGTCATGTCACTTGGTCATAATACTTTTGAAACGAAGGAAAGGTCGAAGCAGGTTTGGATTGTTTCGTGAAGATGAAACACCTAATTACTTCAGTCTTCAAAACATGAAATTCTTCGTTTTGGCTTCTGGGATGTTCTGTCAACCTGAACTTACGATGGAATGATCTGAGCTTCTATACATTTGGTGTAAAGCAAGATAATCTACTCATTTTGCTGAAATTTCGATCCAGCCATACTTTTGTGGGAAAAGAGAAAATCAGAAGAACTGAGCTTGCTTGTTATATGGGATCCGATGCATCCAAAAGAGTGAAACAGTGGCAAGCCATTCAAGGGTATCCAAGCAAGGAAATAAGCAAAGACAGTAGCTCTGTAAATTCTTTGGTCAGTATCAAGTGTATATTGAGGAAGTATTAACTAAGCTTACCTTACATGGGAACGTGTTTCAAGCTGTCATCAACCTTGAAGATGAGAGAATGACAACTCCTGGGGCCATTGCAATATGCTATTTGGGTTATAGCTACACTGACATGTGGCTTAAAGTATCAAGTAATTTGATTTGTCATGTCAATTTTGTAGCACTTAATTAAATTCACACACTATTGTTAAGCATTCAAATTGTGTGATTCTTAGCTGTGCCAACGGCATTGCAATTACGGAGATGGGTATAATTTGTTATTTTATAACAAAGACTTCTAGCAGATGAGAAGTTTGCAAATATGCAGCTTGAAAACTATCACATCCTGCTGTTCAGCTTTTCAAAAATAAAAGGGAAATTTGGGAGCCGGTCTTTCTATATGGACTTATTTGGACTTAAGTTCATCAAAGAAATTTATTTGTTATGCAGTTCGTTTTTTTGTCAATTTTATCAGACTATTCCTTCTCATTAGAAGTGAAGTAAAATTAAAAATTAAAAATTCTTAAATTTTAAGAGTTTGACTTACATTAAATTTTTTTTATATGTATTTATATTCATATATAAATTAGGATTATATATATATATATATAGTAACATTAAAAATAAAAAATGGTAATATTTAAATAAAAAAAAAGTAGCATTTAAACACAATAAAATAGTAACATTTAATATTAATATTTTAAAAATATAATAATAGTAATATGTTTAACAAAAATAATAACATGTTTAATAAAAACAGTAACATATTTAACAAAAAACAGTAACATGCTTAACAAAAAAAAATAACAATATAGAACATTGAACAAAATTGAAAATAAAAATAGTAGCATTCGAACCAATAACCAGAGGAAGAAGTCTCCAATTCTTCAGTATCCAAAAAAGTAACAATTAAAAAGTAATAACATGTTCAATAAAAAATAGTAACATGAAAAAAACATAGTAGTATGATCAATTAGAAAAAATAATAACATAGTCAACAAAAAACGTAGTAACATAAAATATTAAAACAATTTGGGGATTATTTATAAAAAAAAATAAAAATAAAATTGGAAATCAAACTAATAACACATTGAGCAAAATTTCAACCTTTTTTTTTTCGAAAACCAACGACATAGAAATTCATGATGACCAGAACACAGTAGAAGGTATGGTAGTTGTCGATAATGTTTCAAACCCTACTGATTTTGATACTATGGAGGAAGAAATGATAACTAAGAAAAAATATTTGTTGTATTGGAGTGATAGTCTTTTTCAAACGAGAGAGAGAGAGAGAGAGAGAGAGAGAGAGAGAGAGAGAGAGAGAGAGAGGGGGGGGAAATATATATATATATATATATAAATATATACATTTCAATTTTAATTTAGGAGTGAATTGAGGGATAATAATTTATAATTTAAAAAATTAATTTAAAATTACTTTTAAGGTCTTTACGATTTCTATAATTGAATATAATAACACTGTTAAATGTATTTTTGAAATTTTAAAAGATTTCTATAATTGAACATAATAACACTGTTAAAGGTATTTTTGAAATTTTAAAAAATAGTGGACTTAAGTACTTATTAGTAAAATAAAAAATAAATTTATCATCAAATAAGTTTTCTTAACGGATTTAAATCATTATAAATCTATCAAGGAGGACTCAGCCTCAATATCCACAAAATAAAACTACCCAGGCCCACAACTGTTGCCCTTCGATGGACAGCCCAAGCTGCTCCAGCAATGAGAGCAGGTTGTCACTTGTCTACTAAGGGACAAATAAAGAATGATTTCACGGGGGACCTTCTCGAGTGATCCTGAAAAGGGAAATCGGACTATTTAATTATAGCAAAGCATTATGATGGTGCTAATGCGATACCCGAGTCTTTTTCTTTTTTCACCGGCAAAAAAGAGTAGAAGGGAACAATTTACAAAGAATTGTGGACAAATGATGACCATAATAGAATTAGCTCATGCCCGTTGGGAACCAACGACTAAGGGAGGCCTAAACGGGGAGAACTACATGAACTCTCCGGGTTAATACTAAATGAGAAAATTACATAAATGAATTATAGAATTTGCCCAAAATACAGTGGATACATTAATTGTTTCTTTGAATAAACGTACAACTCTCAACCAATTTTGGTTCCCAAAATACGTTTTAATGTGAAGAGTCAAAAATAAAATTATGTTGCTCGTAAAATCTTCTACAAGGCTACCACATCATCACCCTCGGGCCTCGACGTAATGATTTCTTTTGTAAGGATTGCCACAATGTGCCACCCTCAGTCAAGGAGATGCAGATTTTCCAGATATACCTGACATTCCCCACAGCCCACTTTGTTCAAATTCATCCAACTGGAAATTCCCACTGGTGTACCAAATCCAAGTGATTTCATCACTCAATTTTATAGGGGATGCTTCAACTGGCACTGAATTGTTGCTCTCGTAATTTCATCAGTGGTAGAACAGACCACAGAGATCCAAAAGAAAGCTTACCAGATAACCGTGATAGTGAGGCTGCTCAGTCAGAAAAAGGCTGTGAGTCCATGCACAAATGCACTAATTTTCTTTGGGACTGCCCAAAATGTTCACCAACTCAATAGCATCTTCACTGTCCGGATTCAACCCTGGCAAGATAAGCAGTTTTCCTTGTTTGAAGGACTTGATTCTCCATCTGAATCCAAGCTGGAGATGAATTCAGCACGGATTTCATGATAAGCAAGAATAAACATGGCAGCGGTGTCTAGTTGTTGTGCCTCACGAAGTGCCGTCAATGCCTCTTGCAATGCACCAGCTGCAACGAATAAAATTAGAGCACTGCATTGGACCAACATTAGCATTCAAAATATAGCATATGAGAGGAAAAATCTTGAGGTGAACAAATACCTCCAGATGTTATGCTCAGCATGGAGGACATGTTCGGTCCACCTTTGCAACACCCTGCTGGATCAACCAGCTGACTGACAGACACAAGATTGGTGGTAAGACCGGGAGATACGAAGACATCAGTGAGAGAGGGAGAAACATCACCAGTGGCCGTGATAGGTAAATGATTGCATCAGCCGTATGAATTTTGAGTTTCCTAAAATATTTGTTTACATTGGTAAGAGAATCAGCACTGTTTGTCATATGATGGGAAGCCCCAGAATCAAAGTACCAAGGAGATGATGTAGAGAAGAGTTTACCTAAGAGTCCTAAAGCTGAAAATGCAGAAATGATCATTTGTTGAACCATGTCAGGGGTTACGGGTTGGACAGAAGCAGGAGCAGGAGCACTTTGTGTTGTATTACCCGCACTAGAAGAGCCAACTGAGACAGTATATGCTGCCTCTGATTTCTTGGGGGGTCGAGTAAGGCATTCCTTGATGATATGACCATCTTTCTTGCAGTAGTTGCAGAATTTTCGGGGACAGTTTAAAGCATAATGGCCAAATCCCTTGCAACAGAAGCACTGAACAGTGTTCATATCCCTGCTTCGTGGTCTACCTTGTGCTGCATAGGCCACAGGAACAGATGTAGAACAATGTTGTTCCATGGTGGTTTGAGTGAGAAGGCGTTGTTCCTCGCGAAGAAGATTATTGAGGCATGTATCCAAGGAGGGGGCAGATTCACGGTTCATAAGATTGGATCTGGCGCCTTCAAATTCAGGTCTCAGTTTCATTAGAAATTGACCCCTCTGAGTAGTTTCATGGACAGATTGAATAGAACTAAGACCTTCGGATGGTAAGCCAGCATAAACTATATCAGTGTATTCAGCCCAAAGATTAGTGAATCTAAAGTAAAAATCAGAGATGGAAAGACTATCCTGTTGAAGAGTGGCCAATTCATGTTCAAGCTGGAACCGACGAGCAGTGTTTTGTTGACTGTAGACCTTCTTCAAGTAAGTCCACATCTGAGCTGCAGTCTGAGAAGATCAAAGGTTCAAGATGATGTTGGGTTCGACAGATCCTAAAATCCATGCCATAACTTGTGCATCCTTGACTTCCCACTTAGCGTGTTGGTCTTTGTCTTTGTCAGGAGCTGGCTTACTTCCATCAACATGTCCCCACAGCTCCTTACCAGTGACAAAAATCCTGAAATGAAACGCCCAAGTAGAGTAATTCTTGCCATTGAAACGAATCAAAGAAACATCAGACTTATCCGAAGACATGAGGTCAAGAGAACTTGAACAAGAATAACCGAGATTAAGAAACTTGAGAGCACGAGACAAATGGCAATTTAGGGCTGTAGCTCTGATACCATGACAGTTTAGAGTTTTTTTGAAAAAGTCTACCTTTCTTCATTGACAATCTCCCATTATATGGACGATTTACAAGCTATCTTTTGGAAAGAAAATACAAGCTGATCTTCGGCCCCTACCATATATACATCTATCTAAATATACCATACAGCTAGTATATCCTAGTTAAGGAAGGAATAAATCTATATAATCCTAACTGTCAAAGCTGTAAATCTGCTGGCATTAAATGTATAGATATTAGCTGTAAATCTGCTATAAATCGGCTGACTTTAATTGTGTAGATATTTCCTTTGACATTCACAACATTGGAAAGAACCAGAGAGAAACTATTGATTCGTGCCCTCCTCCTATCAGAAAATAATATGATTACAGTGTAATGGGAAATTCATAGGATCTAGAGAGAAAAAACTTCATTTTTTAATTCAAGAAATTAAAAAAAAAAAATACCCATCCTAGCTATTTTCCCTCATTTTCACTTATGAAGATTGATCGTACCCAGCAAGTTTGATTAGACCTCTCCTATTGTTCTATAAGCTTTAAATCAATACTCCGACATTTTTTCTAGTTGTGACACATTTAAAGGGACTGCAGCCACTTATTCACACATTTGACCTTCAAATTATTTTGTACACTTTAAACGCCTTATTCCATCATATCATTATTCTATTCTTAAATAGTTAGCTTCCAAAGGATGGCCCCTATCCAATTTCAGCAGAAGCATCAATGCATGGCTTGTTGCGCCTTTCTTCACTGTACAACCAGTGCCACAACTCAAATCCAACAGCTTCCTACGTGCTTTCTCAACAGAAAAAGGAGGCATAGTCTTTTCCAGTTACTTCATATAAATTCATCAGAACCTTATTGACATAGTCCCACTATTTCCTCAACAGCTCATCTTCGATTCCTCACCCACTAAACACAGAGTATATTAGTTTTGAAGTGCACATTTACCAATTAATGGTTATAATGTGCAGTCACATAAAAGTTGAGTAAGGCTCCGATAGCTTATTTCTTCAGTTTGTGGAAATAGAACAAAATTATAATGGTTTCCGGATGCATATGGCAAAAACAAGTGATGTTTGATGGCCACTCTGCATATCTCAGAAAATAATTTTCTGTTACTGGTATTTGTGGACAGGACTAAGGAAAAGGAGAAGGTAACTAAAAGAAGACTTATGAAGAAGAAATAAATAACAAGAACTAATGTTCACCAATCAGACCCTAAAAATTCAACACCAGTAACAGTAATGATGTTAAATCATCATTATCATCAGCATCATAACAGAATAATGCCACCACTACATGATAAAAATGGTCATGATCGTGCTCTGGGTGAAATGAAAGTCCTAAAATTATGAAAAAAATTTAAAGGAAAGGTAAGTTCTTTAAGAGAAAGAGAAATATCTGCTAAAGTTTAAAGGAACAGGAACTTCATTGCATGCCAAGTGTTTCTTTCCTGTGTGATCAACTAGCAGAGATATAGGGCAGCACAAAAAATATGGAGAAGACTCACTCGTGAACATGGTTCTGAACAGCCACTTCACCCTTCAACTTTTCATGCCATGGAATACGCTCTCTAGCACTTTCCCACAACTCTTCTTACTCAAAAGCCATCAAACCGAGTTGACCATTACTCTGCCAACCATGATATAATTAGGTCTTCCATACACAATTTTACAATCTAAAGGGCTCACCAATACTAAGAGGTTGTTTCCATGCCATGATAAGAGGTTGTTTACAATCTAAAGGTGTCCGAATACAATCTCTTGAGAATGATTAACGAAGTTAGAATGTCCAATAACACAAAGGGCTCACCAATGCATTCCGTTTCTCTGTTCCGCGTTTTGATTTCCCCTTTGAAGTCAAGCTAATCCAATGCTCAAGAGAGATATTGCCATGAAGAATACAAAAAACCCACCTTCTTTTCGATAAGGCTCTAATATCTTAAGGAGCAACTCTGGCACCACAGAGTCACCAATAGGTGGTGAATGAATCATATAGCCCTGAAGATCTCCTGTTGATGAAGTAGTTACTGGAGTTTGGTAATGCTCCTTATCCATACTTATATTGTGCGTATTGAACCACGAGGGCTTCACACCCAATTGCAAGATCATCCGCAATGCCTGTAGCACAGAGAAAACCATCAAGTATCAGAGGGTTACAGCAAAGTAAACTCCTAGTCGCCTTCTAAATTCTAAGTTCTGCAATACATCAGTGAGAGGAGAATGGTCTCGGCAGATGGAAACATGCTATTGTGTTTTCCATTGCAAGCACTCTTCATGTCCAATATCAATTTTGAGCAATAAAAACACACAATAACAAGTTGTATTCTTCAATATGGTAGAGGGCTGATTAAAATTTCCACCAGATGAAAAAGAAGCAATTCACAGGGCCTTCATATGCAAATAAGTATTAAAACAGAACCAGTTTATTCCTTCCCATCTACTTTGTTGAGCAACCCATTACACTGTGTCGATTGAACCATATATATATATATACAACAAAAAAATTGACCTAGCAAGAAAAAAATACAATTCATTATCAACTGTGTGAGAACTGGAATTATTCTATCAAAATAACAGGATTTCAGGATGTTGTCAAAGAAAAAAATGAAAAGTCAGAATATATCTTACCAAGGCATGTGGTGTAGGAAGCAATATGGGAGAACATAAAGGCATTGGCCGGAATTTCTCCTTCGTAGATCTAGGCTGGGATCCAATGCCAATTCTTTTGTCACTTCTGTATTATGAAAAGGGCACGGTAACAGAAGCATAAGCTACGGCAAGTTATGAAGTTCCGAATTTACCTCAACCACGTTTTATTATAGTCGAATGAGAAATAAAAAAATGTGTGAAAGCTAGGACACAGATAACAAGACTAAATTCAACAATCTGAAATTTAATTTCATGAGTTCTCCCCCAGTGACAAAGATGAGATTCAAACTAACTTTGTCCTTAACAAACCCGTTGCATAAACAGACTCCAACACATTATAGAAGGAGAGCTATCTCATTGCAAGTTGATAGGTTTGATCTACGGTACTTGAGCCTATTGGAAGAACTTTAATCTGTTTTCCTTTCAGCTAGTATGCAAATGTAAGGAGTTATAGCATTCACCAGCATGGTGCTTAGTTGGATCTTGGAAGATGATTTTTGTATGGGAACCTTATTATATTGAAAAAGCACAAAACTACAAAAGGGGGAAGAGCAAGAAATTTTATCCAATAGAAAACCAAAAGCAACAAGTAAGAAAAGGAAAAAAAGATGCTTAAAAAGAGGAAACAATGTGTAAAATGTTAGGTTATTTTAAATTGAGGGTATTGTTGTAATCCTCACATTATTATGAATTAATATAAATAAGGATGATGAGTGTAGAAGCTTATTAACTCTCATTCTCCTTCACCCTCTTTCCTAATCTCTTTCTTTCCCTTCTCTCTTCTCTTGCATCTTCTCCACTCTAAACCCTAGATTTAGATTTCAACTTGGAATTAGAATAATTTATTTAAACTTTGGAGTCATTAGAACACTCAGGGAGGATTTGCTAATCTGTTGGGCTGTTGACGTCCTTGATAGAGTTGATTAAAACTATTATGGTAAGGCTCGATTTTTCTTGCTGAGTATGATAGTCATTTTTCTAAATTTTTTTTAAGCCATTTGATGTACTTTTTTAATTTTTGAATGTTTTTTTGAAATTGTGTTATGAAGGAAAATCTAACTAGGGGAAGACTCGAGGAGAAACACGGGGAGCAAATTTTTTGCAGAAGATTAGATAGGGAGGATTTACAATGGTATACCCGACGATAGGCTAAGCAGATCACCACCCATGAGTCACCAAGCTCGTCATCATCTTCAAACTCAGTTCCCTAGATTTTTCCCCATTATCACGTAATGAGCCTCCTTGTAGTAATTATGTTGATGATAGTTCTTTACCTATTTCTATTCGAAAAGGAGTTCGGACTTATACCTAACATTTTATTTCGAAATTTATTTCTTGTGACTCTTTGTCGTCCTCCTATCATGCTTTTCTTTTGTCTTTATCTTCTACATCCCTTCTCAGATTTGGAATAAAACTCTTGCAAAACCCAAGTAGAAAGCAGTCATAATAGAAGAAATGAGAGCTCTGCGAAAAAATGAAACCTCAGAGCTTATGTTTTTTCCCCCTAGAAAGAAATCGATTGGTTATACGTGGGTGTTCACTGTCAAGTAGAATGTCAATGGTACAGTAGATAGATATAAAGCAATGTTGGTAACTAAAGGGTACTCAGACGTACAACATTGACTATTAGGAGACATTTGCACCTGTGGCGAAGATGAATTTCATTCGTGTCATTTTCTCATGTGCTGTCAATCTGGGCTGGAATTTACTACAAGTGGATGTAAATAATACATTCCTTCATGGGGACTTAGAGGAAGAAGTGTACATGGATATTCCTTTGAGGTTTTCTTCTCTAGATACTGAGAAAAAAGTATGTAAGCTGAAGAAATCTCTTTATGGACTCAATCAATCTCCTAGAGCTTGGTTTGAGAGATTCTTTAAGGCAATGGTCAAGTTTGGGATGCAGCAGAGTCATGCAGATCACACCATATTCATCAAACAAGGGACTAGTAAGATCTCCGTTCTTATAATAAGTGTTGATGACATAACACTCACAGATGATGATGTGGAGGAAGTGTTCAAATTAAAAGTTCATCTTGCTAAATAGTTTGAGATCAAAGATTTGGGGCGGTTACGCTATTTCCTAGGAATTGAAGTAGTCAGACAGAGGAAGTATATCCTTAATCTCCTGAAGGAAACTGGTATGTTGGGTTGTATATCTACTGACTCACCTGAGAAGTGATGTAGGTGATCAAATTGATAGAGAAAGATATTAGAGGCTTATTGGGAGACTTATAGACCTTTCTCACACTCGCCTAGACATAGCATATTCAGGGAGTCTTGTTAGTTGATTCATGCATGGTCCATAGGTTCCTCATCAAGAGACCAATCATAGTATACTCAAGTATCTCAAATCATCTTCTGACAAAGGAATATTGTTCTCAAAGTAATGTCATCTGAGAATAGACGCTTTCACATATGCAGAATGGGAAAGATCAATTGAGGATAAGACGTCCACTATAGGTTATTGTACCTTTGAAGGAGGAAATTTAGTTACTCGGCATGACAGAATAAAGTATATTGAGATTGACGGACACTTCATTAAAGAGAAGCTAAATAATGGCCTGATTTGAATGTCATTTGTGACATCCAAGGAACATCTAGCTGATGTGTTTACTAAGTGGCTTTATAGTAGAATTTTTCATTCAGATGTATGCAAGTTAGACATGAGAGACTTCTATGCTCCAACTTTACGGGGGAGTGTAGAATGTTAGGTTATTTTAAATTTAGAGTATTGTTTAAATCCTCACATTATTATGAGTTAAAATAAATAAGGGTGACGAGTGAAAAGGCTGATTAACTCTCATTCTCCTCAACCCTATTTTTTAATCTCTTCTCATTCTCCTCAACCCTATTTCTTAATCTCTTCTTTCTCTTCTCTCTTCTCTCTTCTCTTTGCTCTTGCCTCTTCTCTACGCTAAATTCTAGATTTAGATTTCAACTCAATGCAAAAGGCGGCATATAAATTATGCTCTTGAACCATTCATTATAGTCACTCCATACAATGCAGCAAGTATTCAAAGTACTATTTTTCAACATTCTTAACCGGCAACAACTTAGAGTCCATTAAGTTTGAGAGCTTTTATTAGTTACTGTTCAATGCCCTACATTAGGGCATCTTTGAATGTTACTTAGTCTCCTTTCTTGACTTTATACAATCAATAGAAGTTTCCAGTACACTTTATTCACATATTTGACGTTATGGACCACAGGATGTAGACAATACAAAAAGAAAAAGAAAAAAGAGCAATACCGAAATCATTGCAAATAATGATTGAATAAAGAGGGTTTCAAGCACTGGTTTACATCAAATACAAGTATTATCTAAGCTCAGTCCCTCACTAGCGACACAAGACTGTACCGCTCTCTCTAAACCAGGAAGACTAAAGCACCGAACAAATCCTTACCAGAATCCTTTGCAAAATGGTGACAATTATTAGCAAGGAGTCAAATATCTTCTCTTAGAATTTGTGATCAGCCCGCAATACCCAGGTGGTCTGCTTCAACTAAAACTTCAGAGAGTAAGAAATGGAGAATTGGCAACTTTTTGACACCATTAAAGAAGCTAGATTATTAGAATAGCATAGTTTGTTAGGTAAATAATTGCCCAAACATACCCAACTGGTTAAAGGAGTGGAAATGGAAGCTGTATAGGCTAACCTAGAAATTAAAAAAACCAAATGCTAGTGTCAAGAGTTTGAATGGCTTGCTACACTAGGTTTTATGTCTGTTGACATGGGTGCAGATCTTGTCAAAAGAAGAAAATATTGATGAGTCAGCTTCAGCAATTCTAGAGCATGATTATGAGCGTAGCAAGCAGCAATATAGTTTCTGACTTGGATAGTATTACTCTTTTCAACATTTCAATATTTGGAATGAAAAGACAGAATTTAGAACCAGAGAAAGCTTTAGCAAACTTGCGTGAAATGTGGCACATACTTATTAACCTCAACAAGGCGAAAGCTACTATCAGCTCCAGCAATGCACAATACCAGTGGATCATTCTTCCCCGATTGCAATGGCAACCAATCGAGCTCCAATACAAGGGTTCCAGGAAATTGAGGTTGTAAAAGCGAGGATCGGGTGAATCCTGCAATTCCACAAAAAAATTGAAGTTCTGGGCCAAAATTCGTTTAAGCACATGAAATTATTGCAGATTAGATGACTACTGCAGAGTATTATATTCCACTTCCATATACCAGATTTTGAATGTACATAATTTTGAAACTCAAACAAGAGTCTTCTAGAGGGTGCTTCCTACCCCCAATACAGAATTGAAGGTGTGGAAAATCAGAGAAATAGTCCGTTTGCGATTTTTCAAATTAAAATCACATTGGCCACCAAATAGCATGAAGGAACGGTAATTTTTTTTTTTTTTTTTATAGGGAACAGAACTTTCATTTCATATAAAGTTGAATATGTGCATACTACCAAAATGTCAGTTCCTATTAATAGCAAGATTTAGCAAACCCATAAAGACAGCAGATCATGTACACAGGGAACATAAATACATACTGAAGATAACACATAAAAATTCCAATTCTGAAGAACATACACAGAGAGAAGAAAAAAAAAAGAATGGAATCAACAATTGTCATATTTTTTGCTTACAAGATCATATACAGCAAATGTGTTGTCATAAAATAATACAGCAATACGTCCACGGCTACTGTCTTCAGCAACAACAGGTGAGGACTTTATTCTACGAATTCCTTCCCTGTGAGTGTTGAACGAGGAAGACTGCCCAGTTTTCACATCCCACCAACGAATGTTCCCTGACCTATCCCCCATAACCTGAGAAATAAATGTGTCACTGCCTCTGATAAACGAAAGTTTTGATCATGAAAATCCTAACTTACACCGCCAATCACAAAGTGAAATTACGATAAGTGTGGTACATACTAAATGAGGCATACGGTAGGCCATGGCTGTGATCAATCCATCAGATGAGACGAATGAAGATGAAGGCCATTTTGGTCTGGATACAACAAAATCAGAAATCTCAAGTGATGATACAATCAACCAGGTTAGTACTTCAAGTAGGAGAAAATTCAGTTTTCAGAATCCAGTCTAGTTTTAATTCTCTTTTTTCTTTCTAAAGACTGGGCAGATCTACTCTAGGATCATTCTGTCTTTTTTTCCACATATATATATGCGCAGAAGGAGGAGGATGGGGGGGAGGTAAACGCGATAAGGGTCAAGCCAATGTTGAGTAACGAATTATTATTCCTGATATATTGTGCTTCCCCAAGACAAAGACAACACTCTGTAAGAGCAGAACTTTAATCCCTTCCAAATGTATGAAACTGTCAAAGAGAGTTTCTGTTCTGAAGCATTATTAAGCTCATCATTGACTACTAACAGCCACAAGAATCTTACAGAGAAAATCAAGTGACGAGGATTGTATTGGGGTAGGATAGTTATTGTAGATTTATTTTGAAATTTGTTTATTTAGTTAAATATTATTTAGTATTTATCTTTTTAGTGTTAGCTCTATATTAGGAGTATTGTTGTTAAATCACAATTCGTATTGTGAATTGCAATTTTAAATTTGAGAATCGTGAATTATATCGAATCGTAAATCAAAAGATTTGAGACAAAATTTGAATAAAAAAAAATAACATTGCATATTTAAAATAGATAAAATATTGAATATTGAACATTATTGTATTTTAAAAATAATCAATTGACATAATCAAGTCGTATAAATGGAAAGACGCTAGCATTTTGCTTCATTTTTATTTTTTGTTTAACTATTTTCAAATTCAACAACTTAAAAAAAAAATTCATTAAAGAATCATGACTATTTAAGAACTAAAATGGTAGCACCTAGTATAGATTAGATTACAAACATAAATGGTAAAAGAACAAATAAGAAAATTAATTGGGAGAAAACATACGATATTTTGGAACAAAAAATTATAACCCAAAAAATTATCCATAAAAGAATTGAGAGCAAAAATCAACCGACGATACTATAGTGTTAGCCGTGACCTTTAGTTTTAGACAATGCAACTACATAAGGCGAGCTTTAAATGACATGAGAGAGAGAACGACCAAAGTTGTTGAGTTTTTATTAGGGCATGAGTTTCTCTATAAACAAAACGACGTCATTTTATTGTTTAGCAGACTAAATGACATCGTTTTGTCAAAAATTTGGGTTTTAAAAAAAATAATTGAATCGTGCGATTCGTGTGATACGAATCAAATCATACGATTCAGGTATAATTCAACTCTAAAGCGATTCTCACATAAGATACGAATCATTTTGTACTTGTATCGAACCAAATTGTATGAATCAAATCATGAATCGTATGATTTTGATAACTATGATTAGGAGTCCTTATTTTGAGATTTGGTTTCCCTATATAATAGGGGTTGATTTAAGTTTCCATTCAGACTGAAATTGATTGAATATTGAGAATTGTTTTTTCCTCTAAAGTTCTCTTTCTCATCCCCTAATTATTTCCCTTCTTAATCTACATCAATTGGTATCAGAGTTACTACAGTCTACATTAAATTGGTATTAGAGCTAGTATGGTCTACATCAATTAGTATTAGAGCCTAATCTCAATCCAACACCATCGCTGCCATAGAAACTCATCAGTCATCTTTAATTATTCGTACTGTTGTTGTTCATTGCCATAAGCAGTTAACATCTTCATCCAGTTGTTGTCTACTACAGGAGAGCGTACACTGAATCTAAATTAGAATCATCCCTTGCTTTCATCCATTATACAACCCCTCTTCAATTGAACATCATGAAAAAAACCAAATTTTTTTGCCCCTTGGTAAATCCACAAAACCTAACTCAAATCCTAAAATATCCAGCCTTCGTCATAGTCCTCCTCCCATCACCCTAGCCCATCAAACCGAAACTGCCGAAACTTTAATCTTTGTTTCTCCACTCCATAAAACCAAATTTGAACCATAGTAAATTTCCAAAAAAAAAAAAAAAATTGTTCATTCGTCAATCCAAAAGGCATCACAATGAACTCAAAATGCTCACATTGCATCTTGAACACTGTTTTAGGGATATCTACCTCTCTAATCCTCAACTGATGCTATCCCGTGCCTAAATCTATATTGGAGTAGACCCACGCCCCTCTTAGTTGATCAATTAAGTCATCAATTCATGACAAAGGGTACATATTTTTAATAGTAATCCAATTCAACCGCCGGTAATCTATACATAGTTGAAGGGTCTTGTCCTTCTTCTTGACAAATAACACCGGAGCACCCTAGGGTGAGGTACTCGATCTAATTTAGCCCTTGTCCATCAATTTTTGCAACTGGATGTTGAGTTCTTGTAACTTTGCAGGTACCATTATGTGTAGAGTCATAGAATAGGGTATCCACCAGGGTGCAACTCAATGGTGAAGTCTACATCTCAATGTGGAGGTAATTCCAGTAGTTCGTCTAAAAAAACATCCTTATACTCACAAACCACTTGAGGTAGACCCAACTCCTATTTTACCTCGTCCTCCGTGGTAAGGCTCGCTAGCCAACCTATCAACTATCCATGCCAACGAGAGTCATACACGGCTTGGAGTAAACCATCTTACTTTTTTCCCTGAAACTTGAAACAAACACCTTTTGATGTATAGACAATGACCCTCTTCCGATCATAGTCGATGACAACTCGGTATGCTATCAACCAATCCATCATGAGGATGACATCATACTCTGACATGTCCATGACCCTAAGGTCTACGGTGAGTAAAATCCCTGAGGACTCTTCTAGGGTTGTGATTTCTAAATCCATATCATGCACAAGAACGTGAAAATGACGGTGTATGACACGCCCGAATCAAGTAACACATGTGCCTACAAACAAGGAAATAAGAAATGTATCATGGGTTGCCGACTGATCCATCAGCTCATTCTATGGTGCAATGTTGAACACCGTCTCCTAGATCCCCGGTGTTACTGCCTGAAAGTCCTGTCCCTGGCCTTAGCCCATATCCTGGCTCATCCTGCTTGATTGGGGAGTCACCGCGCGTGAAGTACTAGGGCCTTGTGCAGCACCTTGTGGTTGGAACGGATTTTCCTGGTCCATAGTGGGATAGGGAGGAATAACATATGCTTGTGGAAGTCCTATTGATGACTGGGATTGAGGCATTTCGAAACTCTGTAGTTTTGCCACAAGGGACAATTCTTCCTCACATGGCCCCGTGATTAGCACAAAATATTGCATATTTTATGTACTTGTACATCCCTTTTACACTAGCTTTTGCAGTTAAAATGAGCAGAATTGCAATGTTCGAACTTTTCATGGAGTTTCGGTACGTTTACAAGAAAAGTAGTTCAAATGGTGCTTGTTAGGCTCTATCATGATGCTTGAGTTGATTGGAGATAAGGTGGAGACTTCATGGTTGCTTGAAAGGTTGAAGAACCAAGAATTTTGCAAAATAAGGAAAAACCTACTGGTAGGTTTCCATCAACCTACCGGTAGGTTTTGCTGAAAAAGGGACAGATTTTGCATCTCATGCTCTGCAACTTTGAGTATCCCACCATTAGGTCTTCCACTCGTCCTTGAAACTCCTTACACACAAGACACCCCCTTTTCACCCTAGCTTGGACATAAATGAGGAGAGAGAGAGAATGGGTGAAGCTGGGTGTGCAGGCTAGGCCTGCACTACCCTGTTCAACCCATCCTTTTTAGCCCCCTATTGATTGGGATCACATCACATAGGCTAGGAAAGGCTCCATGAACATTTTTGAAGGCTCCATTCAACATTATGAAAGATACAATGTAATATAGAGAGAGAAGCTTAGAGGTTCCAAGGAAGAAGATGAATAGTGCTAGAGAGAAATGAATATTTTTGCAATTTCTTCCATACATTGCCTTGTAATTTATTGTAAGACTTGTTTAAGTCTTGTTTAATGTCTTTAATGTCATTTATTACAAGCACATTTCAAGTTTAGTCTTTCATTTTGGATTTCACCATTAATGCATTCAAGTTCTTCATTTTCAAGCTCTAAGATGGGTATTAAATGCACTTTCCTATAGTTTATGTTTTCTTGCATTAACTTAGCTCAAATCTTCATTCCTTTACAATGTTGTTCTAGTACATTATTGTCTTTGCTTTAATTATGAGTAGCTAAGCTTTTAAGTTGGCTAATCCAAGGGAAACCTCCTCTTGGATATGCCATTTCAACTCATTTTATTTCCCCCTTATAGTGTACGTTAATTCGGTTTGACTGGGTTGAGCAAGGACGTGGTTGTGAGTCTTTGATATCCTATAGACTTTTCACGGGGTATGCTTGGATCCTCACCTCCATCCTAGTCCCTCGCTTCCCACGAATCAATCCAACATGTAGACACCATTGGAGGAAGGTCTTGAGTTGAGTTGGCATTCCCATTGGAATGAACCCTTTTGATTAGCCAACACTTGTCCCATTTCAATTCCATAAAGATACAATCACAAACCAAACTTATACAACGAAAGATTTTTACACTTTACCATTTTTACCAAAAATCACCTTCAACACGATTCACCTCCTTCCCTGAGGAGACGACCTTGGAATACGATTTCCAAGTAAAACACGACATGCAAAACTCTTTCTGTGCTTGGGGAGTATTTTTGTTCACACACACACACACACACATTTCATTCCACCATTATTCTGTTTCCCCATTTCTTACATCATTCCGAGGGAGAGTGACACTCCCCCATTCCTATAAGTCGTACACACATTGATGGAAGATGTCCAGAGATTAGGAAATACAACTGAACCAATCAAGCATTTTTGGAGCCATTGCCGAGGAAGGTAAAACGTTGAGTCAA